CCCAACTTTCATTAACGTTTTGGACTGCGAATAACAGATTCGGGTGGTTTTATTACTCATACTTAAAGCGGTGGAATAAGAATCCCCAAATTAGTTGTTAAAGCGTGCGTGTGTGTTCCACCGCCGGAGGTGTTGGGAGAACTTTCCGTGTTCGTGGACACGCGAGACCCACAAAAGGTTACCGCTTTGTATTACAAACACACACACACACACACACACACACACACACACACTGGAGGGAATACTGATGAAACATCTGATGTAGAACCGTGATTCCTGCAGAACAAAGAACTGCAGCTCGCCCCAAATCGACCACAAGTCCTTTCATGGGAGGCGCTGAAGAACGCGGATGTCCTGCAGAGCTCCGCCATTCTTTCATTTAATTACCAAATCAATGAATCAGACCCCTTTGCTTGAACACCCACTTAAAAAGGTTCCTAAAGAGAGGCCTTACTGGACTGCAGAAACCCTCCCCAGACATGTGCGTGTGGGTCACGTGTGGGTCACGTGGAGGACACCAGCGGTTGTTGTGGTGTGTGAGAGCCGGTGGGACTAGAAGAAGTTGAGTCAGAATAAAAGTCACTCGGACACTCGGACGCGCCAGAGCGAAAACAGCAGCTTATTAGCGGCCGGAGCAAAAAAAACAAACATCCCCAACTCTTCTTCAGATTTAGAGCATGTGTATTTCTACTGAAATACAAGTAACGAGTGAAAAGAAAGTAAAGAATGTAAATGTGGAGAATGTTCACTTTCAGACCTTTTTGTGGGATTCCAGGTTGAAAGGACTGAAATAAAACAGAGATAAGAGCCCGTCTAAATGTCTGCGAGCGTGAGTGATGACCTCTGAAAAGCTGCGGCGCTGAACTGATGATTTTTTAATTGTGTGTGTGCGTGTGTGTGAGTGAGTGCATGTGCTCTCATGTCATAAAAGGTGTGTAGTTTGTGCTTCAGATAAACACTTCCAGCTGGCTCGGCTCCCTTTACAACTCCCTCCTCTTTTCTTTATCTGCCATCATCTCCCGCACACTCGTCCCCTTATCTCCTCCGCAAAGCGCTCCTCTCATGCGCCTTCCAAACCTCATCCATCCACGGCTGCGTCTCCTCCACCACATCCCGCTTCCTTTTCACTCCCCTTCCCATCTCCTGGGATGAAAAACTCCCCCCCCTCCCCCTGGGCCTTTTAGCTCGTTCAGCATTTCGGTCTTATCTCTCCTGCCGTCTGTCCGGGTGGTGTGAGATTCTGCCCAAACACCAGGTACGAGGAAATCCCTGGTCTGCACATCATCTTTTTGTTTACACCGGGAGGCTTCGCTTTTAACAGCCGGCTTCCCGAAAAAAAAGCTCCGGGTGAAGCTTCCTCTCCCCTTCCCAGAGAAAAAGAAGACTCGGGGCTGACATGTGAAACTGAGACGTGGTAGCTGGACTCTGTGAGGCTGAGATTCTCTACAGCGGGTGTTCAACCCGCTGCAGGTCAAGCGAGTCTACACCTGGAACACAAAAAGCCACTATAAAGCTCACAAAATAAAACTTCAACAAGAAGATTAACCATCCATCCACTATCTGTAAACGCTTGTCCTCTTCCTATACCACTTAAAGGACAAAGGGATCAGAACCTGCCATGCAAAGGTGAGAAAGAACTAAAGAACCCTGTTAAAAAGAAAAAAGGCCAAGAGACCACAGCAAAGTGCATAAAAGTCCTCAGCAGTCATTCTGATGAGCCCACTGGCAGGTATCGGATGGCCGTGTGTACTAAATGTGTCAGAGTCTGACCAAAGCTGGCCAGCAGCGCGCATTGCATGTTAACCGGGACAGATGAGGTGGTGGCGGAGGTGGTAGATGAGGTGGTAGATGAGATGTGAAGCGGCGCTCTCTGCCAGAGAAACCCACCGGGCCCGGCCGAGGCCCGGGTGGGGGGGGGGAGGGTGCTGACACAGCTGGTTCCAGGCAGAGACACCCCCGATGCCACGCTCGGGCTGCAGGAATGTTCCCGGGCCCCGCTGCAGAAACCATAACAAGTGCAGGAAGTAGATTTGTACACTCCGGGTTCCACGCCGGGCCGCGAAAAAACCCACACGTGTGGGAACGGGAGACAGGGCGCGAGACCCCCGCGGAGACGTCGGCGCGGACCCCAGGAGGACCTTGTGCGCGGAGCAATCAAGCCTCCGGTATTTAACGGCTTGCCCCGACTCGTCCCTGCACACCGACATTCCCCCAGCAAAGCTCTGTGCAGTAATAGCAGCCAGCAATGCACGAGCACACACATAAAACATGGTGTCACCTAACTGTAAACTCTGTGAATTGTAAAAAGAATGTAGTGACAGGTATTTATTAGCAGTCTGTGGGGTTCAGGGCATTACGTCTTTTCACATGGAGCGTTGCAACGGGATCTGTGTGTCGGACGGTTGCTTTTATCTTCCTAAACTCCCTTCGCAGCATTGTTCTACATTCAAATTTCATGGGGAAAGCCGAGTTAATTGTTTCAAGAGCCGAGAGCGGCCTGTGGCCGCTACAACAAAGATGGAATGAAGGCCTTGCTCCTTTCACGGTGTTTGACCTGCTTGCTAGCTGCTATCGCAGCTAAAACAAACGATTAAGATGAAAGTCTGCTTTACTTTCAGAAAGAAAAACACATGTGGTCTTTGTCGTTGGAGAAGCATCATATTGTTCTTATAGTATGTACAAGAGATTTGCTCCTGTGAAACCCAATTATTCTGGTTTAAAGAACCCGATCAATGCTAACAGCACTCCGCTAACATACGTGGGCCAGCAGTGTTGCTGTTCACGTGCATCAACTTGCATTTAAAATATAGAGTTGTAGACAAGTAAAGAGTAAAAGACAAATACTGATCAGAACATGGAATGATTTGGGCTTGTGTTTTAAAATCAGGTCCGCTGACAAACCAAATGATTTGGATTCAAGTTTGACAACGTAGCATTCGATGTGAACACGCAGCGCGCGTCTAGCATGAGAACTATCATGGATTTACTTGGATGCGCACAACCCCAATTTTATTTGTATTCTTTAACAAGGAATAGATACCGGGTTTGACTCGGGCCAAGTGCAGAGTGCGTAGTGCCATTGACCAGAGATTTTACCAGCTCACAGCGAGCGGGAAGAGTTCAGCCAAAGCTCGCGTATAGTTTTATCCTGACGTCCCTTCTTATGTCAACTCCCTGCTGAGACATAAAGCGCTGTGGAAGCTATTCCGGCCTGGCTTCAACTTGGCAGGAGAGAGATGGTATTACCAGACGAGTTCACTCAGTTAATGCGCTGATGTGTGTGTGCGCAAGTCCATTTGTACATATATATATATATATATATATATATATATATATGAATGTGAGTGGAAAAATGTGTCCATTCGTGTATTTGAGTAAATATAGATGATGTATCCAGGCCTTCTGGCTGACGTCTGTGTAGGACAGAGAATCAGAAACCGTTCACTTTGTGTGTGTGTGTGTGTGTTAAGCTGACACGTCACCTTGCGTACACTGAGTGCCACTTGCGTGCATCTCAGAGGCTTGAAACTTAATCGGACAGATAATTGAACACAGCGAACATTAAGTTTATTTGACATGAGACGGACTGTTGCCCGCGGGGACTTTGACACGTCTCACGTCACATCACAATAAGTCAGAACGTCTCCTGGGAGAATGCAACGACGAACGAGGGCCCGCGGTGGTTTGCGTGAACGCCGCTCGATTGCGCAACAGAACTTCCCTCGGAGTCGGCCCCTCCGAAAAGCAGCTGCGGCGTCCCTCGGAGGGAGTTCAGCGGCTCTCCCTTCCTACTCCTCCAGGAGTCAAGGGTTCATTTGAATGAAAGTTAAAAGTGAGAGCAGGATTTGGACCCCGGCCGCGCGGCTCTCTAATCGCATTCCACGAGCGGGACTCGCACGCGCTCCCGGGAGAAACACAAACAGGACGCTTCAACTCGGGTAACCGGGATAAAAAGAGAGTTTGAGTTCCTCCCAGCTGGTGCTGGAGTCCAAAGCCTCACCTCCACGCTCTGGTGGACCCCCGGGCCGACCTGCGTGCGAGCAGAGCCACCGAGGCTCCCTGATCCCAGATCAGCGTAGAACCCGCGGAGGAGCGTGCGCCGCGTCCCTCGGGGGAGCGTGCTAACGACGTGTTTGAGTGCGTGCGTGACACAGCGTTTGCCCTTCCGCTGCCAGTTTCCTCTTTCTCCGCCCCGAAAGCATGAATGCACGCACTTGATGGCAAACACATGGCTCACGGAGCCGTGATGGATCGTGGAAATAACAGCGTTGGCTGTGTGAACTTATCGCAAATGTACAAAGAAGAAAAAGGGAAGAGCCGAATGGACCGTTAAGGTTGCCACAATGGGGGAGGGGTGGGGGGGCCGAGAAGCCACAGATGCATTTTTCAAAGGGTCACCAAAATGTTGGGGTCTGGGGGTTTACAGGAAGCATTGTTAGGAGCTGCTTGTTGTGGGCAGAGCATAAAGCCTGGGCACAGTGAGGTTTGTGGGGGCTTTTTTTTGCAAAGACACGTTGCGGGTTTTATTGAATTGGAGGGAAAAATGTCATTTGGTGTCGTTCTCGCCGTGTCCGGTTCGCTGCAATGCGAAAACGTCGAAAGAACGCGGCGCCTTTTACGCTCCACTAACCGCACGCGACTCAGATATATGCTGACCACAAAGCGTTTTTAGTGAATCCATTTAGGTGAAGGAAAGGGAGAAGAGGGTTTCTCAAACGGCTCCATCTGGTGAGCTGTTTTCGCCCGCTTTTTGGTTTTTGTGGTAGACCTCACAGACCCACGGCCGCATTTACGTTCAACCCAAAAAATCAGGACTGTTGGGGCTCTGTCAGCTGGCTGTCCGTCATGTCGTGAAAGATTAGGGCTTCAAACCTAAAACACTATCGAGGCTTTAATCGGTAAAGTTGTATTCTGAAAACCATGAAATGGTTTCATGGTGAAAGCTCCGTGTGTGTCGGCTTCTGTCTCTTCCACCTCAAGAAAAAGGACTTTTCACTCACCGAACCGCTTGTATCCGAAAGACTGTACTTCCTCCTCGTCTGCAAAGTCGTCTGTGTGACATAATCAGAGACAGGACACAATAGGTCATAAGGTCATACATGCACACTGCTCCCAGCGCACGCTTCACCATCAAAATAAAACAGAAAGAAGCGATCAGGGCCGAGAGCCATGGATTCACTTTGTCATCCTTGAGTAAAAAGGCTGTTTGGCAGCCGACAGCGCATTAGGTCAGAGATAGTGAGTGTGTGTGTGTGTGTGTCTGTGTGTGTGTGTGTGTGTGTGGAGATAGGAGGTCCAGAGACCTGTAAACGCCACAGGCTGCGGTTTCTCTGAGTTGTTGACAGTAAACCCCTAATTACACTGTGCTGCACCACACTGAAGACTGCAGCGGGGAGAACATCACTGGTAATGGTAAACAGATGGGGCCGGGTGGCGGGTGGGGGGGGGCAGCCTAGAGCTGCAGTGTGTGTTTGTTGGTAGGGGGGCGAGTCAGAGGGGGTCAGAGTGGTATTTCACCTCCTTTCTACCGCTAAAATGAAGATTGTAGTAACCGAAGCCAAAGATGCAGTGTGGTGCTTTTAGGAGGTGAAATGCCTTTAATTACAACTGTGTTTAATGTCAGAATTAATCAAGTTCATCGAGTCTGGTCATCATCACTAGTTATGTTCATCTCAATTAAGTTTTCTTGTTTCCAATATTGCAAAATCCAATAAGTAAAAGAAAACCTGGCTTGGAACTTTCATATCTTTCAATTGGATGTGACTGTGTGGCGTGAGAGAAAATCAATCAGAGTGTTTTAAAACGTTCTGCACCGCAGTGCCGTAATGTCATCCAGATGTGAGCCGCGCATCACAAAGAAATACGCACCGGAAGTCTGCAAAGAGCGTAATCCGCGCACATTTTGGACGACACACGCTTAAATACCCAATGCGTGTAAAATGGAACGTACCTTTCATGGCGCTTTCTGAGTCGTCGAGGGTCGTCGAAGAGATGAGGACCGCTGTCACTTTCTGCGCATCTCAGCATCCAGAGCAATGGGTGCAAACTCGTTCCACAACGCACACTGACGAGGGAAATAACACAACTAGAAGTATGTCGTCATGTCTTCGGTTTGAAATCCCATCGCCTCTGTTCTCCGGCTCGCTTAGTTTCTGCAGGAGTGATGTGATGTTACCAGAAACCCGGAGGAGGAAGACGAGTGTTACTTTTTTACTACGAGGGTAAAGTTATAAAGAAAACCACGAGGCACTTCCGGTGTGGCTTTCAAAATAATTGTTTTTTTTGTTGGGTAAAACTGTATTAAATGGAACTTTTACCTTTATACGGCAATTTAAAAAAAGATTATGTTTAAAAATCACAATTTGAATTCCTACAGAAAATACAAGCATAAAAATTGACATGATTAGCAATAGCTAAAGTCAGCAAAGTTGATACCTCACTGATACTGATACCTCACACCAGCAGAAACACACACCAGAGGGCCTCTGATAGGCCCCGAGCATATTTTAAAAAACAAATACCCCCCAGCTACTTAGCAACGTTCGTTAACCAAACAACAAAGACGTGCCTGAACCCCCACCCCAAAAACAAAGACCGTCCCACACGACTCTTATTTTGAAGGCCATGCCTGATTTCCGGGTGCGTTCGTGCCTGCATCATCATCACTTTTCCTTTGCTCTCTTGTCTTCTTCTTTTTTGATGTCCCAGCGGTGTCTGTCCCCCCCCCGTCTTCTCCCGCTGAGCGTCCCGCTGTCGGGACGGAGGAGGTGCGGACAGAGCTCGCGCGGCGTCGCAGTGATCCAAGCCGGAGATGAGATTAAGTTTCTGGGGGTTGATGGTTATCACGTCCCCGGGTAGAAAATCTGCTTCCCATTAAAGATCATTTCAGAAGGTTTTTAAGGAGGTCGAGCGACACTGAAACGGCGACATTTCAGCGCAGTCGCTGTTGTTTTTACATGTTCACGACTCGTTTCCTTTTAGGGGGAAAAATCACTTTGATATTCACAGATTATTCCTTCAGGGCCCCTCTGTGGTCCCCGGTCATAATGTCACGCATGTGGTTTGGGGTATTTTATTTTGATTTATCGCAACAACCACACATTCCAAGTAATACACTACCATATTCCATTACAGTTATATTATTCTAACCTGGTCGAGTGCAGCCACTTTTTCTTTATGGAAATTGGTATAAATAAGTCTGTATTGTCAAACAAAGAATTTGAGAAATTTAATTAAATTAAAGTTGATTTAATAAATGAAGTAGCCTCATTTAAGCACGTTTTACACTGTGCGTTACAGTACTGTTATTTCACTTTAAAATACTTACTCAATTAAATTAATTATGATTCAACTATTTAAAACCTTTTTTTATAAGATCATATAGTTTTTTATAATTTCTGTTGTGGTCCCATCTTTTGCCAATACGAACCACAGTCTATCAAAATTAGACTGCGCGTTTCACCAGTGGCCCTTGTCCTTTAACTCCTCCAGGTGCATTGATAATTCCAACAGTTCCTGACTCCATAATCTCTCCAGCCTGCAGATGCGGATCACCGATCAAAGGCCCAAAAAAACAGCTGCATCAGACATCAAAGAGTCGGTCAGACCCACCGTGGTGTCTGCAGGTTAGTGTCACCGGGTCACACTGATGTTAATCTTCTTACACTCGCGCAGTTCAAGTGATTTACAGGAAAAAGAGATACAGATAGCCCCCACCGTCCCAGCTATAAAAGCATCAGAGCTGTAAAAAACATAAAAGATCTACTTTTCTTTTTTTGGGGGGGGGGGATAAAACGCCATTCAAACAGGCTCAGCAATCGCTGGAGTTTGACCCGGTCCACCGCAGCTTGGACTCCAGACTCGCCTGAGATGATAAAGCGACTAATTTACTTGTTTTCCTAAAGGCTTCAAGAGTGTTATTTTAGTGTCGGCTGTAATTGCAGCAGCGGGCTGGTGTTTTGGGCCCAGATAGGAATCGGGGCATTCTGATAAAAAGCAGCTGAGGGTCGGGTATCCTGCAGCATCGCCCCTGCTGGTCCTCGTTCAGATGTTCGGGACCTCATTTGCTGGCTCAGATTAAGAGAGGGCCGAGAACGCACACAGGGAATTCCTCATTCACCACGCCGGTGTCCTGCTTACACGCTGCGACGAGAACGTCTCGCGCTGCCTTGCGTGCGGCAGCAGAAGCTCGCTGGTGCCGGAGGCCTGAAAGAGGGACAAAATCTCCCCATGCAGTGCTGACACAATGTGATGGATGCTCCGGAGTTTAAACACACGGCATATGGTACTTGATATACAGTTAAAGACCCCCACTGGTTTTCTCTTTAGCTTTTTCTTTTGCATTGGCATTGAGCGTGCCAGTGTGTGCCAGGTCTCCGCAGGAAGCTCAGAACCTTTTGCTCGAGGAGAAAACGGTGCACCTGCAAACAATTGAGCCTGTAATGTTCAGAGCGCTTCGACTCATGTCTTTAAATGATCTGTGTGCACACGGGGCTTAATCGTGCCAGCTCGCTAATAGGATCTGTGCTGGTGAGTAGATCCATAAAAATAGAACAATCCTTCTAGGAAACTCTCATCTCTCCGACAGCACAGCGTGCAGCTTTTTGTTCTGGGGTTCTTTTTTGTTGCAGACGCCACAGGTAAATATACTTGTAAAAACTACTTGGCTATCTAATTTGTCTGGATTCGCCATTAATGAGCAAAGTAATTGCTTCTGTAACAGTGGACTCGGAGATCAAATGCATTGTTGATTTTCCATTTAGATGGATTTTAGGAAGTGGGATATAACACATTTAACCTGTAAAGGTCTGTGTTGATAAAAATAGGTAAAATTGCCATTGAAAAGATTCACAGTATGAAATATTTCACATGGGCAGTGCTAATTCCTTTTAATGTTGTTGATTAATACGCGTACATTGACGTGTTAAGGATAAGAGTGACACGCTGCTGCTGAATGTCCACCTCTACAAGAGCTAGAAGAGTCTTACAATAAATAGTTATTTGAGCTTGTAATCTTGTGAATTTCCAACAATAAATAGAATTCCAGTGCGGTTATTATCCTTGTTCTGTGATTAGATTAGCTGCTCTTTGTGTTGTTTAAACATTTAGATGCCCTCTATAATAAGATCCTTGAGAATTGACACCACCTTGTGGCCCATGACCGGCACTTCAAAGCCCGTCTGTTGTCGTAGGCGAAGAGCAGGTAGTGTGTCGCCTCTGCACGGCGTCCCACAGAGCTCCAGACGGGATGAGGAAGCTGCTCCTCCACATTCTCTGCATCGCCGAAGTCCTGCTCGGTGCGGCTGAGCCTCCTCCGCTGAGCGAGGACGCGCTGGAAAGTGAGGCCTTTATTACCGGAAAAACGCCGTCATGTTCTTACCAATACTAGATGATTACAGTGTGTCACGAATGTGTGTGTGTGTGTGTGCGTGTGTGTGCGGGCTGCATACAGAGCTGTCTGCAGCAGGGGAGCAGTGCGTTGATGAGGAAATAAAGCGGGCGTTACTCGGGGTGAAGCAGGTGATGGAGACGATGGAGAAAAGGGAGGAGAGGCACCGGGGCCTCGTGGAGGCCCTGAGACGCAGCAGTGACAAGAGGAAGGTATGAACCGTGTCGCTGGGCCGTCGCGTGCCAGTCTTGTGTGCGCGATGACACATTCTCCCGCCACGCGAAGCGAGCGATAGACGTGGGCGCTGGTTCAGGGAGTCACAGCTCCACGGCAGTCGGGACAGATGAACCATCTGTGGATTTCAAAACGACCTTGAGCCAACGACGTCATATCTTCTCTAGTTTATTAAGAGGCGGTTTCTTCCCTTTCGGGGGTTTCCTTCAGGGCGCGATGCAGCTGGTCCGGGACACGGAGCAGCGACTAGAGGAGGCCGAGCAGCAGTGTCACTATTTAATCAAATTATCCTTCAACGAGTGCCAGCCTTGTCTGGGGCTTGCAAGGCCTTCTACGCGTCCACGTGCCGCCGCGGCTTTGCCTCCTTCTCATTCAAGGTTTGACCTCGTCTTCACTGTTTCAGACAGTGATGAGAGCTGAAGCAGAGTCGCTACAGGCTCCAAATGTCTGCAGGTGGAGGAGTTCTTCAGGAACATGGCCGCCCGGCTGGAGGCCCCCGAGCGCGTTTACAATCGGAACGAGGAGAACGCGGGACGCGCCGACGTGCCGGACGACGGGGGCGAGCCGGAGCTCCTGCAGGCGGACGCTTCGTTCGGCCGGCTGCTGTCCGCCGCCGGGCTGCTGTACAACCGGAGCGCCGCGCTGGTGCAGAGGAGGCAACAGGCGTTGGGGGGTTCCTTCCTGGAGGCCTTCAGCGCGGAGGTGCGACCCGGCTCGCCGTCTTCCATGCGGGGCGGAGGCGGCTTCTTCGGCGCGTTGGGTCTGGATCACGTCCTGGAGTCGGTGTCCGACTTCGGGAGGAACGTGCTGGAAGGACTGAGCTCCAAAGTGGCCGATGTATTTGGGGAGAGGCAAGAAGAGGAGACTGACTTCCGGCAGCCGGACGCAGGTATCCGGCGCCATAATGACATAATGACCTTTCCTTTTAGAGAATCCTAAACAGTATGACGCAAGAAGTAATGGGATTCACTTGAAAGGTGATGAATCTATGTTTGAAATCAATGTACATCCTCTGTTGTCGTGTGTTCATGTGTGTGTGTACCTGAAAGGTGCAGGACCGCTGCCACAGAGCAGATATCTGTGCAGAGGCCTCCGCAGACAAGCGTCCGACTGCTGGCAGCTGCAGAGTTTGTGCGAGAAATGTGAAGATTATTTGATAAAAGGTAAATAAGTTGCGCAAAAAGAAAGCGTTTCTTTTAGTGAGCAGTAGACAGAGAAAACCGAGAAAGTCAAATTTACATTTAAGAAGCTGAAACCAGAATACGCTGTATGTGTAAATGTTTGACTGTTCAACAGTTAATCAAATATTATCGCTGTGTGATGAATGAATCGACCGATCCGTGGTGCAGGATATGACTGATGCAGCAATCAGCGAAAGACACGTCTGAAAAAGTAAACTTTTCACTCAGTTGTTCTGATCCCGGCCTCTCTGCACGCGCCCGCTCGTGCTTGCAGAGTGTCCCGGCGTCCGGCAGCTGCACTCGGAGACGGAGGAGATGCACATGCTGTTCAACGCCTCCCGTCAGCAGTACGACGAGCGGCTGCAGCTGGTCCGGAGACACGCAGAGGACACGCAGGCATGGCTCGGCAGCATGGACGACAAGTACGGCTGGGTCGGCCATCTGCCCGACGGCGCCGGGGGCCCACGCGCCCTCTTCAGTGTGATCACAGTACGTCTGCAGCAGTGTTTTTGCCATGCAGGCGCTTTGATACTGTCATTCACTGTTAATCCAATCTGCAACTGCGTGGTTTGTATTCTTTCACGGATTGGCTAACTGATTGATTCTTTAGGTGAATGCACAGCAGCAGCTGAAGGACATGAGGCCTAAAGTGGACAGCAGTGTGGTTGTGACCATTCTGGACTCTGGCCCGGTAACCGTCTCAGTCCCCTCGGGGCTGGAGGTGGACGAGCCGACCTTCATCCAATATGTAGCTCAGGAGGCTCTGGCACTCCGCAAGCAGCAGATAAGAGGTATCGACCCAGTCGCGGCTTAGTTTGTTTCACCTGGTGGTGCTGCAGCTTCAATATGAGGCCAATTAAATGTGATAATTGGAAACTTGACACCATGACAAATCCCTGTGCGTTTGTTCAAACGTTTCTTCTAAGACCCGCAATGCAAATGGCACAATGTGTTATAATCCAAAATGATGAGGTAAAAAAACAATCATGAATTGAATCCTTCATTGACCTTGTGTAAAAAGATGAAATGGTCCCATGTGCACCAGCATTAATACCCGTAGCCATGGAACTATTTAAGCTCTTGACTTGCTGGTATTGGGCTTCAAAAATCGTTTTACGTTGTTGTTATTTCTGCACTTAAGTTGAGTCACTTTCACTTTTTTTGTTAAACTTGAACATGCACATCTAGATGGACAGCTTGTATTCTTTTTAGTTATTCGGCCTTATGGTTTAAGATGTTTATGCGATTCATTTATTTACTCTGTGGTTCAGCTTTTTTTTTCTTTTTTTGTCACAAGAATACTTTTTACAACGAATAATTAAATTATTACAAATGCATGTCATTCCTCATTTCTTTTCTCAAAGGAGTTTGTATTTGTAAGTATTACCGTGTCCCCATTTTACTTGTACAAAAACACATGGCATTACTTTCAAAAATGTTTTGTTTTTATCAGTAAGTATAGTTTTATTATTCTTTCCTGCTTTACTTCAGGCAAACATGCTGCAAGTAATGTTAACAATCTTTTATGGTTCCTGTTTATGGAAGCTCAAAGCCACTCTTTAAGGTCATTATAATGATAATAATAACATTATTATAATATAGATTCTATAATAATATTGATATAGAATCTCATAACTGTAGGATGCTAAGCCATAATTATGACATTGTTTATCGTTTAACAACTTAAAGGATCTTTAATTTTTTTCAAACCGGCACTAATGATCTTCCATACAGACCGAGATTTCTTCAGTTGTCGCGAGACGTCAGAACGGGAAGCATTCCTTCAAATCACCCGCGAAAATCCACCGAAGAGAAATACAACAAGTCTGTCACTCGCTTTCCACCACAATGCTCGCCACGTCTGACATACACGCAGCAGAGGGTCGAGAATCGGAGGTGGAGGAGAAGAAGTCTGCAGAGGAGGTGGAGGAGAAGAAGGAGAAGAAGAACTTTGGTGTTTTCTGCGATGAGCGCGGGTATCTGGACCAGATCGAGCTCATCATGCAGCAGGGCCGCAGGAAGGGAGACCGAACCGGGACCGGAGTCCTCTCCGTGTTCGGTGCTCAGGCCAGATACAGTCTGAGAGGTTCGTCCGTATGGAAGTAAATCTGTGTCATCGGATTTTGAAAGAAAAAGGTGATTGAATTTCTAGCACTGAATATTTATGCATTGAAATCATGTATTTAAATGTTTTTCAACGTTAAAATTTTCAACTGCAAAAAATTCAACCGCAAAAATTCTATGCAAAAAATTCTATGCAAAAAAATTCTATGCAAACTATTCGAACCGCAACATCCGGGAACCCAAGAAGGAGCAATCGATTCTAGATTCAAGATCGGGAGCGTGCGTCAAGCAAAAGGAGCGAGCGCCCCAATACAACTTCGGCTTGTCGACTATGATGACCGGATTTCAGCCATGTCCATTAATAATGGGGCTTCGTTGAGTGTTTTAACTTTAACTTCATGCCATCAGTGTGGTTTGTGTCTTTACGATTCAGTAATAGACTGCTGATGCTGGGATGCTTCGACGAGCTATTAGGAGTGATTGGCGGAGTTTTGAAACCAGGAACGCGCCTGCAGAGCGCATAGGAGCCGCTGCAGCGTAGTGGGGGGGCTTTAGCGGAGCGTGTGCGGACCCATAACCCCGACAGTACGTGCAGGTTATGCTGTTTACATGCACGATCATTGCATGTCCAACAGTGATGGGGTTTGATAAAGTCAAACTAGTATCACAACTTCTACTCAACTGTCTTTACTTTTAAGAACTTTATTAAAATTCAGTGACAGATCACAATCTCTGCTTCACAACTGTAAGGTCCTATGGGACAATAAACGATGACACAGATTTACTTCCATAGTCCCAAGCAATACATACATTATAACTAATTAAAACACTATATTTTTATTTAGTGAAAGGTACGTTAAAAAGGTTAATATTGCTCCGCTAAAGCCGCTGCCCCCCCCCACCAAGTTGTATTGGGGCGCTCGCTCCTTTTGCTTGACGCACGCTCCCGATCTTGAATCTAGAATCGATTGCTCTTCCTTGGGTTTCCGGATGTTGCGGTTTGAATCTTTTTGCAGTGAGGCCGAGATCCTCTTTGTGGCAGTGGCAAGTGGGTGGCATCAAACTTGAGAGCCCCACCCCCTACACGGAACCCGCCGGTCCAAATCTAAAATTAGCCTCTGTAATAAGAAGACGGGGGCTCACGTGTCTCAAATAAAATTAAATAAAATTAAATATTTACAGCAGCTGACCTGTCGTACAAATAACAGTTGTTTCTGGGAAAAATTGGCTCCTCCCACCCAGCGTGCCGTCGTGACGCCGACTGATTTACTGGCGATTGCCGCTGCCTGCCACAAAGTTGCCACCCACTTGCCACTGCCACAAGGAGGATCTCGCTGTCACTCAAAAAGAGAGTGACAGCGAGATCCTCCTTGTGGCAGTGGCAAGTGGGTGGCAACTGCCACAAAGTTGCCACCCACTTGCCACTGCCACAAGGAGGATCTCGCTGTCACTCAGAGTGACAGCGAGATCCTCCTTGTGGCAGTGGCAAGTGGGTGGCAACTTTGTGGCAGGCAGCGGCAATCGCCAGTAAATCAGTCGGCGTCACGACGGCACGCTGGGTGGGAGGAGCCAATTTTTCCCAGAAACAACTGTTATTTGTACGACAGGTCAGCTGCTGTAAATATTTAATTTTATTTTATTTTATTTGAGACACGTGAGCCCCCGTCTTCTTATTACAGAGGCTAATTTTAGGTTTGGACCGGCGGGTTCCGTGTAGGGGGTGGGGCTCTCAAGTTTGATGCCACCCACTTGCCACTGCCACAAGGAGGATCTCGGCCTTACTGACTTAAAGGACTAGGACAAATAAAGTGACGTGTCCGTGCGTGAGTGACCGGAAGGGATGAAATAAGACCTGCAATGTGTTATCGATATGCAAATTGGACACGTGGAAAACAAATCTATTGTTTAATTTATTGTCCATTTTATTTTGTGAGATAAAGTTAAAGTGAGTGATTAAAGTAATTAATACAGCGGCCACCACTAGAAGGAAACTTCTGTAATGAATTATGTACTCAAGAATATTAAGTGACCTATTACTGGTTTTATTTTGTAGACCAGTTCCCCTTGCTGACGACCAAGAGAGTGTTTTGGAAAGGCATCCTAGAAGAACTGCTGTGGTTTATTAAGGTGAGCGTGATCGCCGTCATTTGTTCACAATTCAACCAAACCAAGTGGTTTACTGCCATGCGGATAGTTCGGGGTTTGACTGCTTTGGTCTTCGCTTATCCTCTCCATCACCTCAGAGGTCATCACATAACTGAACATGTAGCTGAGAATTTAAGATTCTTTCCGTCCGTGTGTGTGGGTGTGGGTGTGTGGTGTCTCAGGGATCGACGAATGCCAAGGAGCTCTCGGAGAAAGGGGTGAAGATTTGGGAGGCCAACGGGTCGCGGGACTTCCTGGACAACCTCGGGTTCTCCGAGAGAGAGGAGGGCGACCTGGGGCCCGTGTACGGTTTCCAGTGGAGGCACTTTGGCGCCGAGTACACGAACATGCACGAAGGTGCAGACTCCGAGCAGCTACACGGTCGTATTTTGAGGGGAACAGTTTGAGCAACAGTGACCCAAACGTGAGCTTGGTTGTCTGATCAACGTCCTCTGGACGGCAATTATTCACACTGTTGGAGGACATTGGGTAGATCCATATTGGACATTTTTGTCCTTTTTTAAAAGCACACACACGTGATTAAAATAATACTGTTGAATGACCCTTTTTTTTTCTTTTCCGCGCATCGAATCCCTCACCAGATTACACGGGACGAGGCGTTGACCAGCTGCAGAACGTCATCGACACCATCAAAAAGAACCCGGAGGACCGGCGGATCATCATGTGTGCTTGGAACCCCAAAGGTCCGGCACGCGCCACGTTTAAAATACTCTCTAAACTGCCACATGCATCGTTTTTATTCATTTGAAAAAGAAAAAAATATATATATATCTTCCCCCGGCGCCGCTGCAGACCTCCCCCTCATGGCGCTGCCCCCCTGCCACGCCCTGTGTCAGTTCTACGTGTGCGACGGCGAGCTGTCGTGTCAGCTGTACCAGCGCTCGGGCGACATGGGCCTCGGGGTGCCCTTCAATATCGCCAGCTACGCGCTGCTCACCTACATGATCGCACACATCACGGGACTCTCGGTGAGATCCCGTCGCTCAGGGAGGGAAAAAAAAAAGAAAAAAAGTTGCTTAAAGTGCGTTTTGCTCGCCGCTCACACGTTTTAAATTCACTTCCTCCTGCAGCCGGGCGACTTTGTTCACACGCTGGGAGACGCTCACATCTACGTCAACCACACGGAACCTCTCAAAATACAGGTGGGTCAGTTTAAGGTGGTTTCTCGCCCCGCCGCTCGCTGTCTGACTCGCTCTCCTGTCTACATTTGCAGCTGCAGAGGGAGATCCGGCCCTTCCCCAAGCTGAAGATCCTGAGAAAAGTGGAGAGCATCGATGATTTCCGAGCAGAGGACTTTGAGATCTGCGACTACAACCCTCATCCCGCCATTAAGATGCAGATGGCCGTGTAGAGATCAAAAACGCCAACAGTTCAGTAGATCAGAATTTTATTTAATGCCTTTCTGATTTTGGTGAACGGACACATAAAACCAAACCTTTTACCGAAAAGTATCTTCGCTGATAATTTATCTGCAAGAATCACAGTTGTGAAGTGGTTTTCAGTTATTATCAGAAAATAAAATGTAGGTAAAGAATGAACATGATTTGTACTGAATCATTGATCCAAAAGGAGCCGTGCAGCTTCACACAAGTTAACGTCACAAAGGTTCCAGATACGACGCCTGGTACTTGTATCACTCCAGGATGGAAAGGAGCCTTTGTACAGATTATTTGCTGATGTTCAGCTTCCATACTTCTCCTTCGGGGTACTGGTGTCTCTGCACCGATGACTCCAGCATCTCACAGGAGAAGCCTGGATCCTGAGAACAAAGAGCACATCCACTCAAACAGGAGTGTTTGTTTTTTACTTTACAACATTTAAGGGAAATATTGCACTATTAACGCAATTTCCTTTATTTGATACGTTTGTGAAATTCACAAGCCACTCAAAAGGAAAAAAGTTTTATTTAGAATCACGTAGATACATTAATGTTCTAGATCATCATTCCCGTCGACCTCACCTTGGGGGGCATGTAGTGGGCGTCTCGGATCACCACGGGACTGGTGAAGTGCTCGTGCAGGTGATCCACATATTCACACATTCTGGCAAGAACAAAAAAGTACATTTAGTCGAGAGCTCTTATCTGGCGACTGGAAAAAAACAAAACACCAAATCCTGCTCTCACCGGTTGCTGAGACTGCCGGACACGGAGATGTAGTCGAACAGAATCAGGTGCTGGACGAGCTCACAGAGGCCGACTCCTCCGGCATGAGGACAGACGGGCACTGAGATGAAACACAGCAGCACGCGCGTTGCTTTTCACGCAGACATCACACCTCTCGCCCACATGAGTCAGTTATAACTACTTTCATTTAAAGAGTGAAAATGGAATTCAATTTGGTTTAAACATTTTTTTTTTTTAAAGTCCGTTTTGTTGCGTTTACCCTGGAACTTGTGGGCCATCAGCAGCACGGCCAGGTTCTCGTTGACGCTGCCGACCCGACAGCCGTCGATCTGCACAAACTGCAGCGCCGAGGCCTGCAGGAACTGCTTGAACATCACCCTGCTGTGACACTGGAGAGGAAACGGTCACCCGACTAAAGACACATCAGCTCGTCGGCCAGCGATACGTGCGGCGGATCAAAACGCGAGCTCTGACCTGCTCTCCCGTTGCCACGCCGATCCCGAGCGGAGCCAAAGCCTGCAACGGCAAAGTCGAAGGTCTTTCATTTTATGCCATATCGCTACAACCTCTGAACCCGATTTCATAACATTTGAGTACTTTTAGTTTCACGTCTCCCCGCTCGTCACCTTGGAGATGGCAGCGTGACCCAGGATGTCGTCGGGGGACGTCGGCTCCTCGATCCAAAGCGGTTTGAACTCCGCCAGGCGGGACACCCAGCTGATGGCCTCGGCCACGCCCCATCTCTGGTTGGCATCAATCATCTAAAAACACAACACTTTACTGCACCTTTGTGTCTTCATATGACAACAATGGTGAGGGGGGGGGGCACAACAACCATACCAACGTGTTCTCGGGCCCAATCATTTGCCTTATGAGGCGGCACCTGCGTACGTCGTCCTCCAGGTCGCCGCCGACCTTCACCTTGAATCTGGTCCAACCGCTTTTCAGTGCATCTGTGCAGAGCTTTAGAAACACGCGAGGACGGTCACGCCGGTTTGACTAAAAAGGGGGAGCGGTCCAACCTGAGCAACGCGTTTCACAGCGCCGAGACCTGTCGGAGCAGCTGGTCCGGGTATCCGAGCCACGCGCAGGAGGTGGTGTAGGCGGGATAACCCTCCTTAAGCATCTGGTCCTCTGGCGGGACGCAGAAGCAGGCCAGTCAGGCAACACACACACACACACACACACACACACACACACACACCACGACAAGTGTGCAATGAATGAGTGCGCTCACCTCTCTGCTGCTTGCCCTCCTGAGCCTTCACGATCATGTCTGGATGAGAAAAGCAAAGCGTTAGGAGTCTGTTCTACGTCTACCTGCTCGTGCAACATCCCTTTTTAAATCTGGATTAAATGTATGGAGGGAGCTTTTTAAACATCAACGAACTCTGTAGACATCATTTTTTATTAAAAAAAATGTATACACTGTATATATGTTAGACATCCTAAACCAGTCCCACCCACGGCCTCCTCCTCCGTGAGCGCATCGGTGATGTATCTGAAGTCAATGCACGAGGCGAGCTGCCTGGGATCCTGGATTAGACAAGGAGACAGGAAACAAGTCACCGGGCGGTCGCGTCAGTCGGACGTCCACGTTTCCCCGCGACTCACCATGTCAACGAGCAGCTTCCACAGCGGCTGCAGGGGAAAAAAAAAGACAGACAGCAGGTCATGATGTGTCAAGCCCCCTCCCTCTCTCCCTCCACCCTTTCTTTAATAATGCCCCAAGCAAACAGTCCCCACCTTGCCCTCCGCCCGCGCCCACAGGTCCCACACAGCATTCAGGACTGCAGCCACGGCCAGCTGGATGACTCCTTTCTCCGGGCCCAACTGGGTCGGTTCAAGGAAAGGAGGCAGGGTGTGAAAAGTGGACACCGAAATTAAGAGCTTTTATTTTTTCCAGCTGCAAGAACTTGAAGCCTCTTGCATGTTCTTTGGCTGCATGCAAGAGAGCGCTTTTACTTTTACTTGTCAATAACAATCAGGACTTTGAGACCTTCAAAAACGTATTTTTTTTTGCACACATTATAAATGGCTTTTCTTCACGCTGCCATATTTCATTTCATGTTTATTAGTCGTCTCGGCCCATCAGTCTTCATCGGGACTTTGAGACCTTCAGAAACAGGATTAGTCACCCTGTGGGTCCTTCAATCATATCGTCAGCAGCAGGCCAGCAACTTGCAATGATGACAGACAGGAGTTTAAAATGAAACCAGTTATCCAAACAGGGTTGACGTGGCTCTAATTTTGGAATCTTGGTAATGAATCCAACAGATGAGTAATTTCATAACGACAAGCCAAGAGGAAGTTATTCTACAACCAGACGGCTGCTTTTGAAAGAGATAGAAAAGTGCGGCTGCATCGGACGCCGGCGTGGGCGCTCTCACCCATCTCATCTGCCCGTCGCTGGTCAGGAGGCGGTAGAATCCCCGGAAGTCGCTCACGATCTCCTGCAGAGATTTGCCCACAACCAGAGTGGCCACAGCCTCCACGGCGCAAACCACTGCGGGGCCACAACCATAGGGAAGAGAATGTTTCATTGCACCGGGAGAAGGACGCATTGGCCACTAGGTGGCGGTGGGAGGTTCAAATTGAAGCCTTTTAATTTATGCTTCAAGCTAAAGAACGTGAGAGAAACAGAGGTTCAAGTCCAGTAAAAAAAGGAAAGGAAACTATTTAGATGCATAAAGTTAGCATTTCATTTTACATTTTTAGCAAGTTGAAAATAAATATTCTTAGTTGAGGTCGAGTGAAGAATAGCAGAACCTTCTGATCAATCCATACGTTGTGCAGTTTGGAAGTCTATTGCGAGCCTGTTAACTTTAGGCTTTGGGTTATTTCTACTGTTTACTGTTTTATCACATATAAAACAAATTTTGAAAAATATGGTCTTGCGCCCTCTTCAGCCAACACCCAAACTAATGTCCCAACTCATTTAACAAAATCGTGTTTTAACCTGGAATAAATAAAATGCACAGATGCACTTCAAGTGCATACTTGATCAAGTTGGTCCTGGTCCTGCACAGATGCACTTCAAGTGCATCTGTGCAGGACCAACTTGATCAAAGTATATATTATTTCAGTATATAGTATTATTTATATATATATATATATATATAAATAATAGAATTAACTGATGTACGCCCTACATTATCTCATCACATAAGTTACTTATATTTCCTGCGCTTGTCAGTGACCCTGAACGCGGCACCGACTTTATTTTTTTTCTCTTTAATCTATTCGTTTAAAACTTTATTTGCGCAAAATCCGCAAACCTCACCGATCTGCGTGCCCTTGCCCAGGGTGAACGTGAAGCCGAAGCCCTTCAGGCCGCAGGCCGTGTGGATCACCACGTACGCGGCGGAGTAGTCGGGGTCGGTGTGCTGCAGGGCGGAGAAGAAACGCACGTGAGCGCGCGCGACAAAGCCGCACCGAGCAAAGCACAGACGCGCTCCTCACCATGGCGTCGGAGCCGTGCTGCTCCACGGACGTCGGGAACCTCACGTCCCGCACCGTCAAGGCGGTGATTTTGTGCGACATTTTTGAGAACTTGTGTTGTTGTTGTTTTTTTTGTGGAGGACTTCCTGCTCCGCGAGACCTGTGGCGGTTTGGCCCCGCCCACCGAGCCGTGTCATTGGTTGAAACGTCACCCGCTTAAAACGAGTCCAAAAAATAACTAGATAACTAGAATTTGTAAAATCACGTCTTTATTGTACAAATTCCTCGGATCAGACTGCAGACATTACCTCTACCCCAAATATATTTTGCAATCTTTTCATTTTTGGGGGATAATCTTAGAAAATGAGCATTTTTTTTAATATACAAAAGCCCTTCTTTACAAGCTCAATCATCAATTAGCGTTCTTTCCACCATAATACTGCCCCGATAAGTAAAAGGAAAAGATCCCTGTAAAAAAACATGTTTCTATGAGATAGAAATAGTTTCTGCAGAGCCACTTTAGATACATGAACATGAAAGAGGCTTTGTTCATGTTTTCCACCTAGAAAGAGCTCGTGAAATCATCGAGTGTCAATCTGGCTTCATCATCATCAGTTTCATCACTGTCTAACTCACTGACACGTTACGTCTGATTGAACTGAGGTCACACAATGGAGGGACAGAAAGAATGATGTCATTTCAAAGTCTTCAAATCAAGCTATAAAACCGCCTGGTGTGGATCAAATGTGACACAGGTTTGAGATAGACAAAGGAAAACAGAATGAATTGATATGAAAACAACAAAATGCATTTTGAAATATTAGAAAGGCATAAGAGACCACGTCACAGTGTCGTCGCAGTCGCTGGTTTGTAACAAATAAGGAATTGCTCTGCAGCAGAATAAATGTAGCTTAAGTTAAGCTGTGTGGGATTTATGTTTCAACAATTAACCAAATGGACTGTGATAATGACCGACAGTCCCCTGAGAGCTTCTCCCTGTTAGTATAATATATTATATCTGTTAATAATTCATTGAATTGATGTATAATTCACAATTTACCACAAAAGAATACAATTTGGAGGCTATTGGAGCTCGAGATGTCCACATTAAACTGCATGTTTTTCTATTACGAAGCATTATCACAGCTTATTTATACAGCGATAAATTGTGTTCATGAGAGAGAACCAAACATGTATTGTCTGTAACATAACTGAAATGAATGCGTTTCTTTTTAGCACAGTCCTTAACGTACACCGTGAAAAGAATCCACATTAAAATGAAAGATTTCACACAGGTAAGACTTGGCTTGTACCATCAATAAGAAAACAGAAATATACAAAATGTAAAATGAAATGATGGCGGATGCTTAAAAAAGCAAAACCTATTAAAAAAAAGTAGTGGTTTATGTGACTGGTTGGTCTGGTTTCCGGTCGGCTTTCAGTCCGACCATTAAGAGCTCACGTCTTCAAGCGAGTGCCCGCCCGGGCGTACGGATAGTCCACGCAGGCTATAGGTTCTCCCCTGGTTGGTACAGTGGCTCCGTGGCGGTGAAATAGTCCTCCAGGAAGGACTGCAGGTACTCGAAAGTGGGCCTCTCATCCGGGTCCTTCTTCCAGCAGAGCTTCATCATCTCGTGCAGGGACTCGGGGCAGCCCTGCGGGCAGGGGCATGCGGTAGCCGCGCTCCACCTGCTCCAGCACCTCCCGGTTCACCATGCCTGAGGGGGGGGGGGACACCCGCAAGTTAGGGTTTATGGGGATTCCTTTTGAAATGTCCCCAAAACACCTTTTAGGATTTATTGGATCAGATCAGATATACAAAATATACATGAGGGTCAAACATTGGAAATATTTGGCATTTTTCTTTCCTTGATAATTGAGGCAAAAAAAAAAAAAAAAATATATATATATATATAGATCCACATTGAGACATGCGCTTGTTTGAGTTGGATGCGTATGTGGAACGCCACCTCCCCTTCTGTCCACCGACGTGGAAACTACAGGAGACGGTTAGCTTAGCATAGCATGAAGACTGAAATGGGGGGGGGGGGGGGGGGCACCTAGCCTGGCTATTTCCAAATATAACGAACTTCGTCAACCAGCATCATTTAAGAAGCCTGTTTGGCAACAACACCACGCCAGAAAGTCACTCTAAAAACAACAGCTGACGTGCTGTTAGTTGCACACATCAGTGTATTGATCTTCTCATCCAACATTCACAGACATTTCCTTTATACTTCTTCCTAAATTTCCTTACCAGATTTTATTTTTAAAATGATTTTAATACTATTGTTGGTTCCAGCGCTGCGTACAAAGGGGAGCCGCGTGAAGGCGGGACAGAACACTGCAGGGCGCTGCTCCGCAGGGCGCTGTCGCCACGGCAGATGGTTATAAACAAGAGTGGTGTTCAATCTCCTGATCGGCCTCCACCAGATGGTCTCATTTAATCTCAAACATGTGTGTGATGTGTGTGTGTGTAATGGTATCTGTGTGTATTTGTGCGTTCCGGCGCAGACAATGTCAGGCGGAGCGACGTCAAACTGACAGACTGAAAGCTGATGACAATGACCGCCCTCCGAGCTGCACTTTCTTTTTAATCCACACCAGAGTGTACGCGTGTGTGTGTGTCACTGTCACTTACCTGGGTAGGGCACTCTGCCTTTGGTGACGAGCTCAGTGAGTAAGATCCCAAAGGACCAGACGTCTGATTTGATGGTGAAGCGGCCGTACAGGGCGGCCTCCGGGGCCGTCCATTTAATTGGGAATTTGGCCCCTGGAAGGTGAGAGGAGAGGGGTGAGGGGTGAGGGGTGGGGGGATTCCACCAGAGGGCGTATAAGCCTCCATCTCAGGCTTTACCTCCAGTGGATCACAATGGCCATGGACCTACAGTCCTTTCTGCCAGCAGACATGTTGACTCTTCATAGTAGGAAATCACATGTTCTACTAATGAACACACGGCTCGGTTCTATTCCACTTATTCCCTGTGAGATTGAATGTAAGCAAGAAGCTGCTGAATGGAATCATTTATCATCCATTTCATTATTTACGCTTGTGTTTTTCATGCTGCCTCAAGTCATCATCATTAAGACCAATAATCATAATAATGGTTATAAAGGACAATATGGTCCGTGCATGAAGAATTACTCACTCGCCATTGTTCTAATGTACAATGAACAATGTCATTTAGGGGTATCGTCTGATCTCATTGTTTTAATGCACTCTAATCTAATTAAAGTTGTTCATTACTTGGGCTATTGGTTTATTTATCTTCTTAAGTGGATCCTTTCTTGACTCAATTTTCTTTATTAAAATTAAAGTGGCATGGAGCAGAATAGATTAATAATAACACAAGTAGACTGATGAGGTTAGGCAATATAAACCTTCATTATTCAACATGAATAGTGGAAAATTAATTGTACTTTTTCATGCAGGGACCCATTATTAAAGATAGTGTTCCTATAGGGTTAGTTCATCTAAATTAAAACCGCAGAGCAACCTTCTGTGTTTTAAATCATATCATCATGCACATTTTTCACTGAATAAAGGCAATAGATCAGATGCATGACAACCACATGCATATGAGAAAACAAATCCGTTAATTCGTCAACGTGCCACTATACTTTGGTAAACGCTCTGCACAAATCTCTCTTTGTTGGAGATACTTTCCCACTGAGCTAACTGTCGGCCATCGTCATTCAATTAAACAGTCGTTGCACAACAAGGCCGGGCGGAGATCTGCGCGCCCGGCTGCGTCTGTGTGTGTGGAAGAAGCCCCGCCCACCTTGTCTGGCGGTGTACTCGTTGTCCTCTATCAACCGGGCCAGACCGAAGTCGGCGATCTTGCACACCAGGTTGTCGGCCACCAGGATGTTGGCGGCGCGCAGGTCCCTGTGGATGTAGTTCATCCTCTCGATGAACGCCATGCCGTCAGCGATCTGAAGAGGAATAAATAAAGAATGAGTGAGACTCGACGGCATCATCGCCACGGCTGCTTGGGAGCAAATCGTTTTTTTTCAGCTTCTGGCGCTCAGAGCATCGACGCAAAGAGATCTCAGAGGCTTGAAATGGAAACAGGAAACGCACAGGTCCGGTTCTGTCTCACCTGGGCCGCCATGTCCACCAGCAAGGGCAGCTTCAGGAATTTGCCGTCGCCCTCTTTGAGGAAGTCGAGTAAGCTTCCTGTAAAAGCGGCGACGGGTTGTAAATGAAGAGCGTCAAATCAAGCTTGAAAGTGAATTGGTGAATAAAAAAAAGAGGAACTGTGGCGAAATCACCATCAGTTCATCTATGAGATCACAACAACCAGACCTGAGACACACGTGCAAAAACAGTTGATATTTACACACACACAGCAACGTTCCTCGTTTCAGGCGCCAGGGAACCACGAGGGACTCCCAGGACTCTCATTATGTGCATCACATTAATTAAAACCTCCATAAAATGTACATTCACGCATCAGTGCAACGCCTGGAAAATCCCCTCAAGATCAATTTGTGCCTGAGAAATCAAGACAAACGGCTTTCGTTCTCTTTTAAAAAAAGAAAAAAATAGACCCCCATCAGTTCCGTGTCACAAGACGCGTCGCATCTCTCTTCGAGGCTGAGCGATCTCTTGGGTACCTTTGGCCATGTACTCCGTGACGATATAAATGGGCTCCTCAGACACCACGGCGTAGAGGGGCACCAGCTTGTCGTGCCGGAGCTTCTTCATGATCTGGGCCTCCTGGAGGAAGGCCTCGGGCGACATGGTGCCCGGCTTCAGCGTCTTTATGGCCACCTTGGTGGTGCCGTTCCACGTGCCTGCGGGGGAGACAAAGACGGGGGCGGTGAGCGTTTGTATGAATTAGGTCCTCCCCCCTAAGCATGCCCCGGATGAGCGGTGCAAATAGAGACTTTCTCCCGAGATAAGGAGGACACAACAAACAGAGGAAGCGACCGCAGGAAGTGGATAATTCCCCACCGGTTTGGACTAAAATAGACACAGTAAATACAGCCGTCCCGAGTGTGTGTGTGCGTGTGTGTGTGCGTTCGACTACGCAGCTGATTTCTTTTTTTTTCCCACCAGCACTCATCACGACTACGCACTAAACGCCAGAGGGCGTTTCACCCCCCCCCCCCCCCCCCCTCCGACATGTTCCCGCGTGTCTCCACCGTCTCGCTCACCCATCCAGACTTCTCCGAAGCAGCCCTGGCCCAGTTTGAGCTCCAGGCGCAGCGACTCCCGCGGGATCTCCCAGGCGTCCTTGGCCAGCCCCTGCGTCTGCGGCTTGACCGTGGGGCAGACCGACGTCAGCCTGTGGCAAAGCCCGTCGGCGTGCTCTGCGGCGGGAGCGGAGCGCTTCGTTAGGGACGCACGAACGCCGGATCGGGGGACGGGGACACACAGAAAGACACAAACCCCCGCGTACCCGTGTAGTGTTTGACCAGCTTCTGCAGCGCGTCGAACTGCGCCCGGGTGGTGATGTAGTAGCCCCCGCTGTCCAGCTTGCGGATCTTGTAGTGTTTGACGTTGTCCCCCTTGGCGTCGTCCCAGTCCCGTATGGACAGAGAGTAGGCACCTGGAGGAGGAGAAGAGGGACATGCCGTCCGTCCGAACCGTGCACGAGCGGCCAAGGTCGCATCGCACGGAGCCGACGGTCGACGCATATTAAGTCCTGTCCTGTCCTTGGAAGTTCTGTTTTTTTTCTGCGATGGCCTCGACATACAAAACTCCTTCACTCGGGGAGGCAAAGCAGAATTCAGTATTCAGTTCTGCTCTCCCTCTTTTTTTCACGACAACTTTTAACGACATCTTTGCTTCCTGGAAGGCCTCCATGTCGAGGAGTGCTGCATGAATGCATTTTGCTCACTCGTCTGATTTGCGCTCCGGGCGCCGGGACACCCATGATCATCAGCTGACGCTGCTGCAGTGTGGGGAAGCTTTGTTTTGCTATTTAGACACACAACACGGAATGCTAAAAGCCAACTGGTTTAAAGGGGCTCTTTTTTTCGGCTTTGATTGAAGAAACCCGATGTTTTCAGATGCAGTCGCTCATCTTACGCTCTGGCGGTTAAACCACGACTAAGCTTTTTGCCCCAAAGTATCGCAGGCTGCCGCCCGACTCAAGAAGTGGTCCTCACCTTTAGTGGTTTCACTTTCTCGCACTAGGAAGGTTCCTCGATGGTTTCCTGTATTCAGCAGCAACCTCTCAGCATCTTTGCGCCCCATTTTACCAAAGTACCACCTGCCAACAGGAAGCATTTACATTAAAAAAACAAAAATGCCAAATTGAAACATTCTCAGATGGTGGTGTATTATAATGAGCCTGCATGTGACCTAGAGAGACCAACGTATACCGAAAGAGGGACCTTTCATGGTACATGGCATGTCCATTTTTTGGCTTAGAAGCCGTCCCAAATATCCCAATATAAAGCTCCATCCAGGGCGGGGAGCTGTTGGTATTTGGGCCACGTGAGACGGGATCATGCCGGTGTTATTAGTCTCCTCGTGCGGAGCGGGTAACGAGGCTTTAACAAGGCCTTACTCTTCAGCCTGGATGGAGTCAGCAGGGGCCACATAGTTGCTGGGGATGTAGCCGTTCCTACCCGTGTTGATGGAGCGAGCCTCCCACCAGTCTCCCTCTCTGTGGGGGGAGAAAAAGGGACAATGAACGCGGGAGAGAGGAGACTCGTCCCGTTTGGCAGTCAACCCCGAGGCCGCATTGCTGCTGCGACTGATGGAGGAAAAGCGGTTAATGGTTAATAATTCGCTCATTAGGCGCGGATGAATTATCCTCCCTTTAGCTTCCACGGTGGCTTACGGAAAACGGTTTGAAGGCGCGTGGATTTTTTTAGTAATTTGTTCTGCATTCATTTAACCCCCCCCCCCACCCGAGCTTGGAGTGAAAACCATTGTTACAATGGGAATTCAATGAGACTAATCGGCTTTACATGACAATGCTGAAAATCCCAGGCGACGATTCCGCTGCGAATGTATTCATAGAACAGGTGCGTGGACGAGAGTAATCTCGTTATCACTGGAATGAACAAAAGCCCCATGAACTGAGCGGGAAACTGGGAAGATGCTCACGTGTTGTTGATGATCTGGAAGCGGTCTCCTTTTTTAAAAGAAAGATCGTCAGAGGTTCTCGCTTCATAGTCGTACAAGGCCACAAAGAAGGTCACGCCACCTAGGAACACAAAAAGAGGTGAGTAAACACAAGACTAGAGGGCCTGCCGCAGGAAACAGCTTTATCTGTGTGTGTGACCGTTTAAATGGACCATTGAGGTAGGAATAAATCCGCCTCGCCAAAAGGCCTGAGTGCTCAGACTGTATTGATTTTCGAAGGTTTTTAAATCTGTTGTATGATCCCTTCCAATGCTCAGAAACGCCACCGTGACTGCACCCGAGACAAAGGAAACGCAGCGGCAGGTCTTCCTTGTGTCACATGTTACACGTAACCGGTCCACAAGTCGTAGCTCTATGGATAATAAAGTCCTTTACCAGCTTCCTGCAAAACATTCTGCCTGCTGCACAGCCACACCCTCAGACACAGATATATATATATACAACAATGCTGTCAGTGCAGTAATCTCATTATCTGAGCCATGGCAGTGCCACCTTCGCCCCTCCCTGAGAGCAGATAATCCGACACCGAGGGGGATTACAACCTAAATCCCACCGAAACAGGAGGGTTCAATCTCATCCCTTCGCTCTCAGGATGGCCGTAAGCTGCTCAGACACATTAACGGTGATCACAGATGATAACAGGACCTGGGTTCACTCAAACAGCGGGGAAAGCTAGTTTAAAATAACAGCGGCCGGGGACATTAGCCGTGACCCCGACGCGAAGGATCAAAAACACCGACCGCGTTAAGCTCAGTGTTAAGTGTGTTTTAGCCCATTAACCGTAAAACACTGCTGAATATTCTCCTCAGACTATTGCCTCATATCAGCATTAAGAACGGGCATCTGAAATGTGTTCTTATTTTCTCTCATGGATCAATGCGCAATAAACAAGCAAAAAAAATTAAGAACAAATTCGATTCACAAACAAGCACCAGAAATGTGATTTTATATTACTTTGGTATTCCTTAGTCAGCTAGTGAGAAAGCCACATAGAAAAAACCTCGATCATGTTAAATCAAATCCTGTGTTTGGTCATGAATCAAAATTTCATGCAAAATCATGGTTGTAGAAGGCGAGAAACTCCCAAAGTTGTCATAATTCATTCTGACGAGGACATGAAGGCGTATTTAAAGTTATACATCATGCCATCCGGGGTTTTATATTTATAATATTCTCCATCTCTGTTGCCGTCGGATTACACGTCCGCAGAGAGTCAAGTCTCTTTGAACACAAAATTAAAATCAATACGGTTTTAAATATCTGATTCCATATGGCGTTCTGGAAAGAGTCCAGCAGAAAAGCTGAACGACGGACACAGAGATTACGGCCGGAGGACACGTAGGAACTAGATAAAAGTGGTCAGCGTCAAACACCACTCACTTGAAACGGCGCCGGAGAAGGAGTTGGACACGGGGCCGGAGAAGGACGACGCTCCTCCGAAGGGAGTCATGGCCGACGAGCCTCCGAACGGCGTGAGGCTTTGGTTGAAGTTGGGGGCCCCGGAGGCCGCGGAAGAGGAGGGGGGCGGGTTCTGCTGCAGCTGGGTGGGGTCCGGTCCGTAGTGACCCACGTGAGGCGCGGCTGTGGCGGCGTTGGGGTCCGACGCCGCGGAGTTCTCCGGCCGATACTTCATCGTGGGGCCTTTGTCCTCTTTGCTCTTGACGCAGCCCATCGTCTCGCCCTGACGGGACAGACCACTTCAGTGCCAGAAAGACGAAACAATGAATGACACGTGCACAAAGTCAAGGGCGGGATCAACGGGTGCAACGCGAGGGCGACCGCGTAATTCAGCGTTATGAAACGAAAAACTCAAATGACCCGATATTTTCATGTGAATCGCTTTGTTGTTGCGACCCACTAAGACTATAAGCCAAGTGGTAACTGGGACATATGTGCAGACGGAGAATCCGCTTTCAACCCACGCGCCCCTCCAACGTGTAGATTCCATCGAGCGCTTTGAGGTACGAGAGCCATCATTTCATATCGTGGTGACCTATTCCGGGTCACGGTTTGGTCGACGAAGACGTCGACTAACGTTTGCAGATCTAAAACGCTTCGGCCTTAAAAGGGAGAAAAATGAAAACTCTTTGCGGTATCAGCGGTGTTAATAACATTCAAAGTGCCCTCCGCCTAGTTATGAATGACTAAAACATGCCGACCGCACACGGCCCCGGAGGCCCAAGGGGTCAGGGGTCACTAGGCCCGGAGCCGCATGACGCCAGTAGATCAAACGAGATGCAAAACGACAAGAAAGCGAATCACACAAATGCATGAAGGACCACTGCGGAGAGACGGAAACGGAAGGAAAATGACATCCGAGGGGCAAGAAGGGCTTTTGCACCACGACAAAGACGGGGGCCACGTCTGAGATGGTGGTGTGTGTCTGAACCCGACACCCCCCCGGCTCACCTGCAGAATGCTACATAAGCAGTCTGGGTGTCTTGTCGCGTGGGAGGAATCCGTGTCTGTACATTGTGTGTCTGAGCCCAGAATCACAACGTCTCATCATCCGTCCGCGCTGCAGGATCTAAAAGCGTAGCCTGGAAGGCGTTCTTTAGCGAGGTGAAGGCCCGGAAAATGTGGAGACAATGGAGACGCGCTCGTGAAGTCCAGATCGGAACGCTTTTCATTCTGGAACAACAACAACAACAACAGCTGCTGGAGGAGTTGGCCTCGGTTAATTGGCGCCGACACGTTACATGACAGTTAAACAATGGAGGACTGGAGGAACCGGGAGCTCTGAAAGCGGTCTGAACAACGGGAGTGACGGGATTACGGGCTCGAGCGCCTCGGTGCAACAGAAGAGGCTCTTCTGAGGCACCTCTCACTGATTTGGGAACAGTAGCTTTGATTTTCGGTTGGGAGGCGGGGGGGACCTTTTCCCCCCTCATCAGCAAAGCAAGCGCGCATCCCAGAGTTCATCGAGTTTTCCGGCTCAGCTGCCAAGGAAATCAACAAAACGGGGACAAATCAAAGAAACCTTCCAAGGCTTCGGAGCACTTTGCTCAAATAAAAACCGTACGACTGTTTAAATTGCAGGTTGCAGCTCTCGCTGAACGCTGGCGGTCCAAAAAACACTTTAGAGAAAAGTCCCCAAAGGGGCCAAGAAATCTAATCTCAGATGTTAGATCTTCAGCCAGTATGTTGAGAATGTCGGCATGGAAAGAAAGAGAAAAAAAAAAAAAGAGTTTCATAGCCGAACTTTCCTTTAACGTAGAGACAAGCGGAGAGACGGCGCAGGTCGGCGTAATTCATGTTAAGTTGCAGCATATTATGCACGTGGAAATACAATATTCAAGTCAGACAATCGCCCCCCCCCGCCTCCGGGGGAGATGAGCGACAGAACGGTACCCGCGTGGGCGCAGAGACGGTGATCCATATAGGAGGGGAACTGGCAGGGGAGGCAGCAGCTTGGTGGCATGAGGGAGGGGGTGGCGGGGCAACCACACACAGTGAACACCAGCTTGAACTGGGAGGATTATGAGGATGGGGGGGGATTTACTCTAAGAGGATAATAGCAAGAAAAAAAAAAAAAAGAGTAACCACAGTGCCGTCCTCAAACTGCACCTGCACACGACCATTTTGGTGGTGGCAGCGCGGCGTGTCGACCCGACATCCATTACATACTGACGAGGGGAAAGATGGAAAAAGAGCGAGGTGTCGCCATCAAATGTCTCAAACGCTCAAGCTCATTCCTGAACAGCAGAGCCACGGAACCGCAGGGGGGGGGGGAACGCTGCCTCGCCGCTAATAATAGTAACGTATTTTTATTGCTGACAACGTCCCACTGGCCCCCTCGGGATGAGACCATGACCTACAGCGGCACGCCACCACCGGACGACTCCATCAGTCAGATCCGCGCGGTAACAGCGAGGGACGGAGAGTTTAAATTAGAATCCTCACTAAAAACAAACGGGAAGGATCCTTCCTCTTCCTCCTCAGAAACGTCTCTTTGTTTTTAGGCCGCCGGGAATCTTTGAAACAAAGAAGGACACGGACCAGCGTCTGCCTTCGGGTCCGTCGGTTACCGTAGAAACGGGATCTCGAGGGACTCGAACAACAAAGATGTTTAAAGGAAAGCATCAAGTTGGCTAAAAGCAACAAATATTTCATTTGAGAGACATATTTCTAGGCCTTCTCGTGAAGATGGAACCCTTCCAGAATAAGTCAGTGGGATCCGCTTTCAGTTACGCTGTGTGTTAACAAAGCACAGTGAATACAACCACACACAGTAACGCAATTCTACCAAGAAGCCAACAGTTTGCACCACAAACAGAAACCGCTTAATGTCAAACGTTGCTCCAGGTGTAAGAAACCGGACTGACCTCTCACGCACTCAAGGCTGAAGCGATGCCGGCGTTTTGGGTGCCGCCGAGGTCACGGCTCAGAAAGCGGCGGCGACAAAGTTCAGCTGAGTGGATCCACATTCACAGTGTCAGAAACAAACTGATGCCTTTTGATACATATCACATTGGCCCATTAATCACACAAAAGATTGTGACGCGACGCTGTTTAGCTTAATGCTAGCTAAATGCTAGCTGCAACCGCCGGTGAGGACTGAATCCGACGGACGCTATTGTGCGGCCTCTTGCAGCATCCTATTGTACGTGAGCATCCCGCTCTCCTCTGGGGGTTTAGGTCGACGTTTCCCAGACGCCGATCGAGTTGACAGATGACCAGAGGTCTGAAGTCTGAAGCGTGTGACGTAAGTCCAATCGGACAGCTGCAGACGGGGGAAGGCCCTCTGGAGCTTTACTGGGCCTCAGATCTGCAACAGATGTTGCCGTTACCACCATCATCCACCACATTCCTCTTAAAACCGGTCTGGAGAGGAGTCATGTGACGTTACGGGCGTGAAGCCTCGGTACGGAGAGACATCAATAACTCGGTTCTATCATAACATGAAATACAGTCTCATTTAATCACTGACCGTCTTTAGCATTAATAATTCAGTCTTGAGTGAAAAGATGTCCTCTTAACACGTTCATTTTTTTCCCCTTAACGTGACAAACCAGAGCACGAGTCCACCAGAAGAGGGTTTCTCTGTCGCTCATGCGAGTTTTTGTGAAGCCGGAGAGCCAAAATCACGCTGTTTTCTAGAATAAACCGGTCTCATGGGGATACCTGAATACTGGCTCCGGAGTCTAAGTGGGAGCTATTTTTGGCGTGTTAGAGTGTGTGTCTGCAAATTTGACAACACACAACAGGGCCGAGTGTTTGAAGTGTCAACATCTGAACGGAGCGACCACGTGATCGGCTGGATTGGGGCGTTTTTTTTTCTCTTCTCCTCTCTGGAGAAACACATCCGAAGCCAGAACTTCACACACTCAAATTCTTATCTCGTCTCATCTTCAGATTCGTGCTTAAACATGTTTTTCAAGCAAAGTCATTTCTTTTTCATGTCTGTACAAGCAATGCTGCCTTTGGAATGTTTGCACGATTTTTCTTTTTTTTTTTTCCCTATAATGAATTCCCCAAATAATAGATAAATCCTTAACAGAAAACACCTCCTGTAGAACATGATATATTCCTTCAATTGTATTAATAGATCGGTGGCCGTGCTTGGTGTGTGGCGACGGAAGAAGTCGGAGGGAGAACTTTGTGCCGCTTCGTGATGAGGCGAGATCTCACAGATTTTGGGCTGCTGTCTTTCTTTATGTTTGGACATTTGGGTCGTGATCTGCAGCAGGTATACGGATTAAACGGCACATGGGGACTTTGCACCAATCTCCCTCACCAGATTCTTATCTGCTTGATAATGAAATGATTAAGCTGTTACGCAATGGGTATTTTAAAAGTCCGTGTTTAGGCCACCACATGCTTTGTTAAATGCAAATCGCATCAACGGGTTCCAGTCAAATACACTGATTTCACCGCCACGTTTGAATAAAATGTAAACTTTTGCACTATTGACTGATTAGGCAATAAAAACCCACTATGGAAGACAACAAATTTAACGTCCAATGGTTTAAAGGACTGCTGCAATTTTAAAATATTAAAATATTTTAAATATGAATTGCGCTATCCACCTTTAGCTTTCCCCACTCCTCAGGTTCAACAGCGCTTTTAGTCCCGGTTGGGCGGAGCTGTTCAGCAGTCGGTTCAATCGGAGGTAACGAGGATGCTTCCTCGGGCCCCTGAACTCAGAGTGGAGGTGGTAAGACCCAAAAATCACAAACCGGGGACAACGGCGACAAACTGTGACTCAGCTGTTCCATCACGAAGTTTGAGTTCACAGCCAGGACGAAGGGCCTGGACTTCCTCCTCCTCCTCCTCCGGCTACTGACTATCATCTACACTCTCATCCCACTCAGGCGGAGTCAGATTGAGGTTAACATCTGAAACCATGAGGTGGCACTTTGGCATCTTGTGTCTGGCTTTAAATGAACACAATGGATGGAAAACGTTGTTTCAACAGGGATGAAATTAGAGAGTGAATAGAAACGGACAGATGACGTGTATTCTTTTCCATGCAATCTAACTTATAACCTTTTGTTTTACTACTACATTAAGTACCTTACTAATTAAACAGTATATCATATAGTCACTTTGGATAAAAGCGTCAGCTAAATGACCTGTAATGTAATGTAAGATAAATGTTGCCATAAAAGGTATGGAGATGGTGTTTTGACCTTGTCCTACTTTGAAATATGTATCTGACTCCCGATATGGTTTCAGTAATATTCCCGTGGGACTCCGAGCACGTGCTCCTCCAGTGATGCATTAACCTAAAAAACACGATGAGCTGATCAATACGTTACACACACGCGCTACAAGCCACCGACGGGTTTCTGTGCATTCCCATCAGACGCGTCGGTTCCTTTGTTGATGACAGGTCGGAGCGTTCCGGCCCATCCTCACGATCCCGTTGACACACTTCGTTTGCATTTGAGATCTTACCTTCTCAAACCCGCCTTCTCCTTCTGGTTTTCTCCTTTGGATTTGCTTCCTCTCCTAAAATCAGACCCGGGAGCGGGGGGTGGGGTGGTGGAGGGGGGGGGGGGCATTTATTTCCACAGAGACCGAACCGCCTTCATCCTCACTTCATTCATCCAGCAGAGAGGGGGGGAGGTGGAGAAAAACAGAAAAAGCTGAACAGATATATTGTCGAAGTTAAATCGATGGAGCGCTGCAGCGGGTGAGGGCGCGCGACGCAGCCATCGTCCTCCAGCTGCGGATCGGCGAGAACGAGCGAGATCCAGAAGTGTCCCGGCTCCTCGTAGCCTCCACTTCCCACTGCCGAACTTACATCAACCCCCCACCGCACAACAACATGGCCGACCCCGTCTGCGGGACTGGAGGAGCCGCGCACAGCTGGACGGATCCGTCCGGTACAGCTGATCTGAGAACAGCTGCGGAGGGGAGACGACCACGCGAAAGGGGGAAAAAAAAGGGGGGGGGGAGCGAGGGAGAGGAGGGAGGGGGGTGTGGCTGGATAGAGGAATTATAAAGAGATCCTCATGTGAGAGGCAGCAGAGGAGAGCGAACCAGCAGACCAGATGGGTGGTTCCACGGTTTTCACGGAGGGGAGGGGGGGGGCTCGAGGCGGCCTCTGCGGGCGCCGTTTCCACTCACAGGTCCGGAGCTCCAGCCCCCCCTGCCGGCCGCGGCGCGGGTACTGCAGCTGCACATCTGCAGTTCAAGGGTCGCGGGGGGGGGCCGAGAGACACCTATGTGGGCGGGACTAACCCAGCCGAGTATTCAATGGATCACGTCATCATCCATCATCCCGAGTCTCAACTACCTGGTTTCTGAAAGTATTTCCCTCTTGATTAATATTAATAACAATATTGCCTCGCATCATGCTGCAGGTCACGAGTTAACTTCATAGGGATTAAAAACATAAGACATGAAAAGGAAAACTGCTAAACGGTATTATTTGTCCTATTTGCATATTTATTTTGACTTTTATTTACAATAAACACAATTACTAACACCTGCTTTATGGTACAGACACTTACCTTCTTTAATACAGTATTCATTTTTTTATAATTAATAATAAAACATGATGTGCTGAAAATTCATGTTCTCTAAAGGAAACTTTATTTAAAGTGAAAATTAATAGCATAACAAAACAATGCAATTTTTTAAATCTGACAAAATAAAATAAACAATAGATTAAGCAAACATACATTTAGCTTGTATTCCACGTGTCCAATTTGCATCTTAATTACACAATGCATGGTCTCTTTCTTTCATCTCATCACTTCTGGTGACACACACGCACACACACACACACACATGCACGCACACGCGTCACAAATTAGATTTACAAATACGCTCTCTGTTGTAAAAGCGGTGTGGTAAAATACTAAGTACACAAGACAGGAACCTCAATAAAGCTCTTTAAACACGACGTGTCTACACCAGTAGGCGCTCTGAAAAGTTAACAGCAAATAAAATCAGAATGAGTCAAACGTTCTTCTCGGGTCCTACAAATCTTACACACACACACACACACACCAGCTGCTGTTTGCACCCTTTTTAATAAACAGGAGCATATTTTCTTTTACACACATTGCCAAAGTAATCAGTGAGTAACTATATGGACACATTCTTAAAATTGACCGTGTATATTGATTTTATGATGTATCTACGAGATTGTTTATCAGTTTCATGACATCACCCGGATGTCACATCAACACCGTCACTCAATATAATACAAGTGTGACAAGAAAAGCAACAAGCATTAAACAGAGCAGGAGATTAAACTACTCCTTTATTAATATTCCACTGTGATTCCCACAAGAAGATGTTTATACTTTGTGGTGAGTCAAACATCAGGTGAGCACTGGATCAATATTCTTATCTACTTAATGTTCTCAGGCCCGTACATGTAATTTAAAGTTGATGAAGTGATATCCTGGTAGAATTCACTCGTCAGCCTTAATTACACTGTGATTGTGTTGCGCTGAATCAAAATGAATTTCCTGGCAAAGTCACTAGAGGTTCCAAAAGTCAAGGTGACACCCACACATGCTGTATTTGCGCTTACATAAACACCCAAATTGTTGTGTAGACAATCTGCCTGTTTGGACAGGGCAGCCTATTTCCCTATTACATTAATGCAACTACTCATGTGACTGTTTCCCTCTTTATGGGTCAACTTGAAACTGTTTGGTAATTCTGAACATTGTGGGCTGCTGTGTATTGTGTGTGATTTTATCGTGCCTTAACCTGGAGGACGTTAAAGGCCTCGATGCGATCACTTTCGTCTCTCAGCCACTTGGGTGCAGTGCTCCCTCAGAGCGGAGTGATTGTAACCTCGCCGTATTTAGGATTCAAAGCGCTTCTTTGCACTACAAACAGACCAGAGCCAGGCGAGGATCGACCGGTCCGAATCACCCACTGAAGATTCAACGTGGCTCCATTTCAATAACCCCAAATCAGGAAATTAAACATTATTCTGGGAAAAAATAAAATATAATCATTAATTACTGTACATTTGTGTGGCAGAACTTGTATCTTGTGACCTTTTGGTGGGGTGTGATGTCGTTACCACTGGACTAAACTACCTCACCGTACATACAATTAATAGTATAATGGTAAAATATAAATGTAGCCCTGAACCAGAGGGCAGCTGATTTATACTGTCTACTTTATAAATACACTAATACGTCAGCTTGACGTCACCGTCTCCTGATAATCCTTCGTTTCCACCTTTGGGGATTTAATATATGTTATATTATTAATGTTTCTTTCTTCTTAATCTAAAGAAACCTTATCTGGAAAACGAATCACAAAGATCAGAACAAACCTGTTTTTGTTACATGGTGAATGGATGTTTTGGAGATACATGTTCTTCATGAGACGGTCATGGGGAAATATTTAAAGGACCGACTGCACCTTCAAGTGTCTTGTTGTGTAACTCCTAAACTCTTAAGGGACAGCCCCCCCCCCCCCCCCCCCCCCACCCCAAAAAAAAACAAAATACTTTTTCTCTCACCTGGGAGTCTATTCATCGGGTTAGCTGGGTTTCGAAGGAGGTTGCAATGGGAAATGTCTCCCTCTCTCTGAATGGCCTGAATGCTTACAGTCATCAAAACTGTTCCTTTATAGACGACCTTCAGGAGGGTGCGGAACTGAGGCTGACGTCTGACCTCTACAGAAGTTAAAGAGGTGAAATGATAACATAGAAGGGAGTTCGTTCAGACAGAAACTTTTTACACAACAGAATGATGGCGGTGCCATTTCAGCACCGGACAGCTCTCTCTCTCTCTCTCTCTCTCTCTCTCTCTCTCTCTCTCTCTCGTCCCAACCCTCACGTGATCCTGTCGGAGTGACGTCAAACGTTTACATTGACAGCCCGTTTAATTAATCATGTTTGAATCCAGGACCCACTTCTTTTTGTTTTTGTATCACTTACTTGGCACGGGGGGTCACTCTGTGACGCGCAAGAGCGATGCGCGCTGACGGGACGGTGGTGTCGAGGGGCCCATGTCACAATAGCCCCCCCCCCCCCCCCCACCCCCTTCTCCCCTCCCCACCCTACGTGACAAGTGAAAAAGGCATGTCTTTCGGATTCGTGAATAGAAAAAAAAAAAAGCACGGGGAGTTAAGTTCTCGGGACGCGGGGAAGTTCTCCGCACACTAATGTTTGGCGCTCTCCATGACCGAGAACACGCAGACGTCCCCGAGAAGTGAGCTGCACTCAGGCACCAGGACACCGGAGAGGCGCTTCAGCGAGGCACGGGAGGAAGAGGAGAGGAAGGGCGAGAGAGAGAGAGATAGGGACCCTATCTCACTCTCCCTGTTGAGGTCTTCGGCTGCTCGCGTCTCACGACTGGTAAGCTGAGGCGCTCCTTCGTTTGGAGAGACTCAGGAGTGGCTGCTTTTTGAAAAATATATATATTTTTTTATTTGGTTTTCAGGAACTCACAGGTGTGGTGTGAGAAGTAAGCATCAACTATTCCATCTGTTTGATTGTGCACCTTTTCACTCACTGCCCCCGCCACTCCTTCTTTTGCAGCAGGACCATGTCCAGTAAAGCGACGTTAGCCTTTCTCATCTATGGCATCATGATGCATTACAGAGTCTACTGCTCACCTGTGGGGCTCAGCTTCCCCTCTGTTCGGTACGTACGCTTTAACTTCCCATTTCTCTTTCCAGATGTTGATTGTTTTTTTGGTGGGGGGGGGGGGGGGGTCTCAGACCGAAGGACACAATTTTGCATCTGTCAAACCGCTGTATGGCCGTGGAAGCCTTTATTGGATTACTGGATGTTGGGCTGCTGTGTCGTTGAGGCTACCGAGGCAGTGAAGTGGTGTCTCAACGTGTCCCGCGGCCCTTCGTGGTCACATTTAGCGTCTCACTTAGAAATGACACAGTTAAAACCACCGTTTTTATGAATGTAAACTGTGCAGTTTACAAGTGGATAATTATAAAGCATGTTTTTTTGACATTTTCTTTTGAATTGCAATACATTAAAAAAAGTCTCCAAAAGACGTAATAATGTGACGTTACACCGTTTGAATGTTTCTTGTGTCTTCAGACTGGACAGTGAGGTTTACGACGAGGACGGGAACTCGTTTCCGTCCCTGGACTACGACGGGGACCAGGCGGATGCCGCGTCCGTCGGGGACGACGTCTTCACGCTGTACTACCCGCCGGAGACAAGGTGACTGATTGTTGGACACTTCGTCGGAGACATCCGCGTTGAACGTCTCATGGTCCTGATTTATTTCCAGTGTGGGGGTCTCAACGCAGTGGGCTGGTAGTTGTTATTTCTAAGGAATGCAATTCATCGAAAAAACAAACTGCAAAAACTTCTTTAAAAAATGCACTTTTCACAAAATAATTGTGGAAATTAAGGCAAAATATAAATTAATTAAAAAAAAAAAAAAAAAAAACTAATTTATCACGAGGCCCAACATTACACCATAATTGACAATGTCTTCCAGCGCAGCTGATTATAATCTGAATTTGTCTCGTCTCTGTGATTTTGCTGTGTGTCTGTCCATCAGAACGGAAAGGCATGCAGACGGCATGTTTAATAAAGCCTACAGGAAAGCGCTGGGTCAGTTATCAGCCAGGAAGTATCTGCATTCTCTGATGGCAAAGCGTGTAGGGTAAGAACATTTCTGCATTTTTTAAAATTTTCTAATCCTTAAAAAACACGGTCTACGTGCACGTGTCTGTGGTCCCCTTATCTCCCAGCATGCAGCTCGGTCTCCAGCCGTTATCAACGCTTTGTTCATTTGGGAAGTGTGTTGTTTGTTTTTGTGTCATTAAGACGCAGGGCGAAGAATGAACACGCTCAAGTATAAATTTATTTCAATATGAATAATTTATAGGATGAAGTCCCAGTGGTTCCCGTTGGAGGGGAGGAGGGTGTGTGAGGGGGGGGGGGGGGGGGTCATTACTGAGTCATGGTGAGCAGGTTTATCACTGGTCAAAATAGGCCAGGTTGTCCTGGGATGGGCCGTAGAAATCACACAAAGATACAACATATTCTCCGCATTACATCCCGTCAACGTGCATCAGTGTGGTGACAGTGAACCCTCGGCGTCTCTCTCACAGGGGGGGCAAAACCATGGACGACAGCTCAGAGCCCCTCTCCAAGCGGCACTCGGACGGCATCTTCACGGACAGCTACAGCCGCTACCGAAAGCAAATGGCAGTCAAGAAATACCTGGCGGCGGTCCTTGGGAAAAGGTATAGACAGAGAATTAGAAACAAAGGACGCCGGCTGGCGTACTTGTAGCATCCTCCCCATCACCCCCCCCCCCCCCTCTGAAACAAAAGAACAAAAAACAAAAAACTTAAGTGTGTGCAGCCCCACATGAAGTCATTTTGAGATCTGAACAATCAGTGGAATCGCTTTTGTGTTCTTTAACATGTATTTATGTATGAAGTAAGCCATTAAATGAATATTTTGATAATAATATTGTTTTTTATTTTGTACTTAAAGCACTTGAGGAATCACATATCTGTGGACCAATTTCTGTTCATTCCAAAAAAAAAAGGAAAAAAAAGAAATAGCCTCTATTTATGTATTCATTGATTTATTTTTTTTAGACCTATTTATTGAGGGGAGACAATTGTTCACATGACGATATGCTCCGAACAGCCCTGTCTTTTGAACCTTTAGTGACCAGATATGATTGTGAGGAAAATAAATTGTTTAAAAGACAATCAATGTATTGAATGCTGCTTTTTGTAAAGTGACATTAAGAGTTTAGTTGTCTTTATTCACAACAGCCTTGGAGACGTAGGTTTTCACCGTATCCTTCAAGACATAGACTTTGACGCCCTCCCGGACGGGGATGAGTTTGAGGCTTTTTTGGGAGACTGGCTGAAACAGTTCTCTCCCGAATTCCCGGTGAGTTTCAGGGTCTTTCCTGAGGCCGTAATCCTCGCAGGGGCCTCTAATGTCCCTCCTTCCTCCTCTCGCCTTTAACCCTCAAACACTCCTCACTTCTTCCGCCTCACCTGTGCTCCTGTCTCTCTACAGCCTCACACACTTTGAACCCCTTTGCTCAGATGATCGGATGGATTTGTCCCCTTTTATGAACGTTGTGACGATTCCTCTAGTAGATCTGGCTTGGACCAAATTACTTAAAGCCCTTTCAAAATGCCGATTATCAATTTTTAAATAAGTAAAATGGGATTCTTGAAAAAAAAGAGAAAAAAACCCAAATCTGAGATGAGGACAGGAGCACTTTTGAGAGTGAGCTCCTTTGACTCATGTAGATCTCGCGTTTCTATCGAACCGGTTACTTCTGAAGGCTCCTCGTGGTTCTCTGCCCATGTAACAAGTATCACCCACATCTCAAGCACCCCGCGGCAAATTTGAAAAACACAAAAACAAAAAACACACAAAAAGAAGACACGATGCTTGTTACATGGTAACTTATCTATTCACTTGGTGAGAGACATTCGAGGCAAATTTAACTCCTGTGTTTGGAACCTTCTGGGTCTGTTGTGCTTCCCTTTTCTGTCATGTGAACCAATGTAAAGAAAAAACTGCAGTAGATTGCATGATTAAACTAATGGCAAACAGCCAGCGCACCAGTGCACACGACTCCACCTGGACGGCTGTGCTTGCTTTCTGACTACTGAAAACATTCCTGTCATTTCTGGATGTTGTTTTGTGTTCTGTTCTCACATTTCTACCCGAACTGTATGTTGAACCTTGTCCCACGCTGACGAATTATCTGAATGTACTTGACTGTTGGCAAGAATCTCTCAATGTCACGCTTTATCCTTTAGCCCTTTTGTTGCATTGTTCACGAAGAACAAGTTGGGATGTTTAAAGTGGTTTAAACGGCTGCCATGACGGACGTAGATCAGGAGAAGAGGGAGGATGAGACGCAGACACACACACACAGAGGTCCAGAGAAGCAACAACAGCAAAGTTGAGCGATCACATGTTGTGAAATCGACAAGACACGACTAAAAACTGACAAATCACATTCCGCCGGGTCGGCACACTTCTCACCATATTTGTTAGGGAGGAATACATTTTTTTTTGCAGAAAAAGCAAGTTTAAAAACAGCATGGTTAAAAAAAAATCTGTGTTTATTGTATCAATCTTTCTTTAACTTTGCATTTTCCTCTAGGCTTTGTGACGCAGGAAGCAGTTTGCGGCTGTGGTGCCTTGCATCGACTTATAAATCGCCATGAATCACAGATGGCTATTTAGTGGCCCTACAATGCTGCACATCATCAGCTTACATTCCACCCTTGTGTTGTCGTTTTTCCGTGTTGCACAGACGATTTTTAGGATCTCTGGCAGCACTCAGCTTTAGACGTCGAGCGCTCCTGCTTGCACTGCTTTCTTTTGCACTTTGTTTTTAGAGCTGTAGACGTAAATGTTGTGTGAAAATAGAGGGACGGATGAGTTTCCCGCTCTCCATGAAACATTATATGTCTGAAAGCGCCAACAGCCTTACTAAAATGAAATAATCTTCAAAGATATACATATATATATATATATACATTTACTGTGTAGAAAGTGAACATTCGATTACTACTTCAAACGGCGACCTGCAAGGGTCAAGTCAATAAATGTTTAAAAAAAAAAAGTGTTGTAAGATTTGTATGAATAAATTTTTGTAAACAACAAAAATTTCGTCTAATCTTTGGAGCCAATGTCACCATAAGTCTGAATGATACGACACATTTTAAGAGTAACAGAGTCCAAACTCATTCTGGTTGTTGTAGCGGAGATCGAGCCTCCCTCGACAGGTTTCACAGGGCGTTACGTAAGAAAAGAGAGATGAGACGAATTAAGAGAAAAATCTGCTCGTGGGCAGCAGCAGAGGGAAACAATTAGAAGTATGAAACAATATCAAAAATACCACACACACACACACACACACACACACACACACACAGATAAGGCAAAGCAACATACTGCAAATTAAAAGCCAACTAGAAGGAAAAAACAGCACAGCGGTGACACCAGTTGGCCGGGTGTGCGACTCCCCTTCGAGGACGGCGTGTGCAAGGACCGTGGGAGGGATCGCCACGCCGCACTTTACACCTCCCCGGGACTCCAGCGGGCGCCACCGAAGGCCTGCCGCGCTGGTGGAACAGTTGGCCGCCTTTGACACTGGCGCACTGGCTCTGATGCCAGGAACGACAATGTCGAAGCCGCACAGAACACGCACAGAAATGAGGGGAATGTATTCAGATTCTCTTTGTATGTTTCGCATCACAAATCTAAAGTTCAAGCTTAAAGCGTTTTATTTTGGAGGGTTCCTTAAAGATCATGTTTTTGAGAACAATTTGTTGATTCTTCAATTACAAGATTGGCAGAAAATGTATCTGCAACTTTTAGGAAAATAAAAAAAGCTATATTTATAATGCCAATTTCCAATAAATGTTAACTTTAGACTGCTTTGTCTTGTATTTTTGCTCATCATGGTGTGTTTGTAGCAAGCAGGTGGGGACTTCCTGCAGAGTGGCTTTAGCCTTTAAAGGGTTTCCCTTCATAGTCCCCGTGGTGCATCGACACACCTGTGGAGACGTGTTTTAAAAAACAAGCATGCAAACAGAGAACTACGTCAATATTCACACGTGTGCGCGCCCTCGTTTTCACATTTAATGGCTTAATAAGTTAGCTGATGTCTCACAACGCTTTCAAATCTGTATCGTTGTTCCACTGCATTATCGTGACAGATTAACAAGATAAACGACAGTTCAGTGTTGGGAATCTAGCAAACTTGAACCCACAGAGTTGGAGCAGGACTGAGAGAATGCTAATTGAATTAGCATTCTCAATTGCTAATTGAGAATTGCTAATTGCTAATTGAGAATGCTAACGCTAATAAGAAGCAATTAGCTAATTGCAGTTAGACGTTGATTGTTAAAAATTCTTTACCTGTCACTCCAGAGGGTCTCGCTCCTGTTGAGACCCCGAGAAACTCCCACACTGTGGGTGCAACCACCCACCATAGAGCCCTCCACCTTCTTCATGACAGCTGGTGAAGTTAAATAGATGCTCGACATCTCATAACACATGAAAATAAGTCGCCGCAGAGCGTGTCTGTGAAACAAAGCCCTCCGTGAGATCTCTTGAAAGGGCCTCAGTTACAATCGCAGGGCTTGTGACGCCGCAGCGTTGTGGGTGTGGGATGTCAGGACGCACAAAGCCCGCCGTGTCTCTGCCCGATAATAACCCCCTCTCGCACACGATGGAGGGGCTTTGATTTTCGGCTCTCAGGGGGAGTGTAGAGAGAAGATGATCAATGGGAGGGATCCGGGTCCTCTGGCCCGTGGCCGGGCCCTTCTTAACCCGGCTAACCCCATCAGCCGGTGTTGCCGGGCAACAAGTCCCGGGGGGGGATGCGTTGGGAGTGAGGGGGCGGCCGTGGTGCCGGAGGACTTCGCGGGCACCCGAAGATCCCGCTGGATGCGTTTGACTCAAACCATCTCAGGCTCAGCTGTGTTGTCTTGTTGCTGGCTGAGGAAAACCGAAGCTCAGGGGCTTTGAGCTAAATGACACGCTTTAGTGCTAATGCTAGCATGCTACGCTCTTACGCCTTCAACTCGTACTCCAGAACCCGAAACTACAAGCTGCAGAGCAGGATCCCCCTCCTCCTCCTCCTCCCCCTTCCTCCTCCTCCTCCTCCTCCTCCTCCTCTGAGGGCCGTGTGATTGACAGCTTTCTGGAGGGGGAATCCACACGAAACCCTTTCATCAGAGCCGCCTCCTGGGCCTTTGCTCGACTGACTGCAGCGTGGTACAAAAGTTCAGCCATGATGGAAAGGCTTCGCTGCGTTCAGGCCGCTGTTTTGTTTGATAAAACGTCAGCGCCTCAAGCACACGATTCATTTCTTATGTGAGGGGACAGAATCTGAGTGAGGAGGCGTTTTTTTTTTTCCTCTGGTCAGTGTTGTGTGGTTTTGAGTAGTGCTGGTATTGTATTGGTTGTATTAAAGCAGTGAGTCACCAATATTTATACAATTTAAAATCAGACAAAATGATGTTGGTGATGGTGGTGAAAAGTCTCTAAAACATTTTAAAGAAAATATTCTTCCTTTTATGACAAACGATATGATTAATGTTTAGTATAATTTATACTTATATGCATGATTTAGTATAATCATGCCAACTGCTCCACCTTTACAGCCTGCTTGTCATTCGCAATCACGCGATTCAGGTTCAGCTTGTTTACAGCAGCAATCCAACATCGAATAGCAACTTTTGATGGTTGGTCCACAAAAATCTCACGTTTGTTGCCACAATACATAAACTGTCTTATTGCTCATTCATTTATAAACTCTCATAGACGGTTATGCAGAAGTTCAGCAGATTGTGGCTGGCTTTTGTTGGTAGTGGACAACACGGCGAGTGGATATGTGGCATTTGATAAAGGACAAGCAGCTGGCGATTTGTGTGCAGTGGTCTCAGTTACAGATGTGTGTGTGTGTGTGTGTGTGTGTGTGTGTTTGTGTGTGTGTCTGTGTGTGTGTGTGGTTTCTCCCTCTCCTCTGCAGGGAATAGAGAGGACTGACAGCAGCTCTCAGCATACCTTGTTACCACCTTTCTAACTGAGACTGACGAAAGCGGTTCATTTCTTTGATTTTTTTCATCATCAGCCGTACACGCCGTCTGAACACAGACCCACAACCAAATAATGACTGGGATTGATTTCCATATTCTCTTCAAGCTTGTTCATCTGCAGCACACATCCATCCCTTCTCCCATGTTCCTCCACCCTCCCCCCCCCTCCTCCGTCTGTGAGCCCAATTAGCATCTTCGCGGCTCTGACGTCATGGCAGTCCGGGTTCAGAGGCCACAGGTACCGGAGCATGTTCCTAGATTTGGACGGAGCGCTGTTCTCATTATTGTGCTGTCAGCTGACCCCTGATGTCATCTCCATCCCGTCGTTAGAGGCTCGCGCAAAGGCCACCGCGCCATTAATATGTATCCCGCTGACGTCGCGCCATCGATCGATCCATTAGCACGACGTATTACCTCACCAAGTCCTCGCTGGGAGAGGACGGCGGCTGTAACTTTGCAAGCATTCAGCATGAATACCGTATTTGGCAGATATGTACACAATGAAGTCACCCACCTCGGTACATTACGGCATATCATCTGGCCCACTGTTTTAGGAGGTCAGAGAGAGAGAAGGAGGCTGTAAAGTGTCCTGCTGTGCTAGTTTTCACATCTAGACGTTCATCATTCATGTGACACCGACGAGACGGCGGCAATAAATCAGTGCAGCTGCTCACGCTAAATCCCGCTAAAGATAGAGGTGGAGTTAATTCATCTCACTTGTGCTGCCGCGGACACACCTGTCTGCTGTTGTTGCTGCAGGTACATCACTAGCAGAGATAAATCATTCGCCACCTCCCAGAATAGACCGTTCAGTCACCTCTTGAAAGAGCGTATCACACTTTTTTTCAGTCTTATACTTTTGTTCCTTTGCGGGCGATTTGAAAGAATAATTCTTTATTTCAACCAAAGTGTTATGAAATGATACAGGAGTAAACCAGTGGGAAATACCAATAATCACCACCACCACTGACCAGTTCAGATGCTCTTTAGATACTTTAACACCTCAAATGACACAAATGTTAATGGAGGAAAGGTCCTCATGATAAATAATGAAAGAGACATCATTTGAAACGTAGATATTCAAAGGTTACACCATTGAAACCATCCATTTCTCTGCCTTGTTTGGGTCTTTTTTGGAGAAGGAAACAGCTAATGAACATAAAACCGACGTAGTGTCGCCTTGTAAAGATCTAAAGTTGTTGACGTGACAGTTTTTTGAGTTTTTGAACACCAAACAAAGTCCAACTCTCACGCTCCTTTTTAGCTTTGTTTTGGTCTCCACCCCCTTCTGAGGAAAATTACCTTCCTGCCAAACGCTCCACTACGTCCACCGGGTCAAAACACATCTTAAACTTGTGTACCGGATATATTGAATCATCTACACTGATGCATTGTCAAACCTACTCCAATTCTACCAAGATTCCCTTCATTCCTCTCAATCTGTGGTGACATTTCAGGAAAAGCTCTTGTTCATCTTCACTGGAGAGTTCCTCCATCACTCTTCCCTTTTGCCAAAGTGAGTGGCGGCCTAACAAGATCTCACGGATTCTTTTAACCCTCGTTTCGTAACGGCACTCAGACACTCAGGTGATGAATAAGAAAGGTAATTAGAACCGACTCCGGCTCAAACATATTTCTAAATTATTCGCGTCACCATTCAACACAATCTGCTTCATGGGAGAAATTAATTTCCTGCCACACATGATTAAACATCTTGTTCAGAATATTACTAAATAAGTCACGGCCCTTTTGTGTAAATTTCCAGGATTGAAAAGTCCCCAAAATACCAACATGCACCTTATTTTTGAATGAGTCAGCAGGTTAATGACCTAAAATAACCGTGGATTTCCTCCTCAGGGATACTTTCGCAGCTTGACTGCTAATTGGCAAGCAGCATCACTGATAACCTCCGATTGCTTCATAAAAGCCGCCCTTTGAGTCTGAATGAGTGTGCCACCATTCATCTTCTCCTCTGCACGGTTCATATGTATCTTTAATATCTTCAGTTACTAAAATAGAGCCTCTATCTTTAGCCGCTCACAGTTCATCTTAGCAGAC